ACAATTATTGGGGTGCTCATAACCTTTCGTGGAGAGGACTCCCACCAGTCGTCTCGGGAAAAGTATGACAACACCTGTGATTAGGGCTCCAATGGGCTGGACACTGTGATGAACCCTTAACCATTGTTCAAATGTTGCCCATACCCCCTCTGACTCGGTCTCTTGTCTCAGCATTCCCTAACCAGGCAACCGAGTTTTAGTCAATCAAGTTTAAATAGGCCTCCCATAGTGGGACCAGGGAATGTACGGCCCGAGATGCCTATTAAACTTAGAGGTGTGTGTGTGTCTGGGGGGGGAAAAGTCCTTAGTAAATCCAGATTAGAACTGGTCCGATAAATGCTGAGCTGGGCGTGTGTGAACATGGGTTGATTAGCATTTGGAGCACAGATTCCCCATCATGCAGTGCTCCCCTGCTTCTCTGGTCCCAGAATTCACTGCAGTCTCTGCTTCAGGCTTTCTGATCTCCATCTCTCATGTAAATGAATTGTCATCTGGTTCCATCTCAGATGCAAATAAGACCTAGGGCAGTTGTTTCACTCTTGTCACCCTTATCTGGAGGGTCTTAGGTGCGTCTCTCACTGCATCTTAATCAGTTTTATTTATGTAGAGAAGGGGAGGGAGGGGGGTGTCACACAGACTGCATCCTGTGCCAGGGTTCCCAAGAACACACAGCTGAGATGTAACACTCCTTAAAAGTGTGTTTATGGAGTACCTGTGGTAAAACTTGCAGCAGTTTTGGAAAAAGTAAAACGCATCAGTTCTGGATGAACTAAAACTATGGGTACTCATAGTACAAAGTTAGTATTTTCAAATTTGTTCTTCACTTCCATGTGGCTCAGGAAGAGCAGGGTCTGGCAGTAAGGGTGGGGAATAAGTTGGTGGGGGGGAGGGAGAAGAGGGCAAATCGGATCCCCCCAGATTTATTTTCCTACCTGTAGCAGTGGGAAGGGGCCAAATTTAAGGCAAACCTCCAATAATTAGATTCTATACCTGGAAAGTTTTATATCAAATTTGCAAGTTTCCCATATATAGAATCTGATTATTAGAGGGGCATTGTGTATTCAAGTAAATATGGTATTTATATTAATCTTTATCAAGAGAAAAGATTTTTAATCAGCAAGCTCATCACAGTTGTTAGTTACTTGATACTAGTGGCATAAAAATTGCTTTTTGGTTTTATTTATAGCTGTCTTTGCTAATGTGGCACTCTTGGGTAATAATGTCATGACCTGACATCATGACCAACTTTTGAAAATAACCGTGACAGCTCTGGCTATTAACAACAAAGGCCGAGAGCTCGAGGTTGGTTAGTGTTTCCTCAGAAATGGACCAAGACCCAAAGTATAGATGGATTTGTTCTGTCCTAACTTACTGATCCTCAGGGAACTCTGCCCCAAATAAACACAATACTTATTTGCCTGATTAGTTTAGTGCTGTTGTTGTTGCTACTGTGCAGTCTTGGTGGTATATATCATTCCCTGCACAATTATTTTCCACTGGTGAAAAGATTCCAGTTAATGTATAAAATGGGATGTGTGTCTTAAATATTTGGGTGTTAAAACTAGAAGTAGACTAGGAAATTTGTACTGCAACACAATGTAAAGTCCTTGTCCTTCCTGGCAATAGGGCTGTGTGAAATTTTTCCAGCAGTTTTGTTTCAACACTGTTTCGACTTGTTTCAAGCTCAAAACAGCAAAATCAAAATGAAACAGAGAGCTTTGAAACAGCCTCGAAATGAAACAAGGCAAGTCGAAACGTTTTAAAAATTTTGAAATGTTTCAAAGCTCAAGTTGGGCTTGCCTGCAGGGGAACAGAAACTAAAGTAAGGAGAGGGAGTGGGGGGTGGGGGGAAGGAGTGCTCTCATTATTGACTGTGTAGCTGGTCAGTGGCTGTCATCCTTTTCTGAGGTCCCTTCCAATCCCAGTGCTCTGGGGGAGGGATGGAAAAACTGCATAAAAGGCAGCATTGTTTGAACTGTCCTGCTTTCTGCTTTGGTGTCAGTTGAGTGAGGGCACACCTTAACACACACACAGTGTCACCCACCCATGCCACGAGTTTTGTCTGTCAGCAGCTAGAGGTGCAGGGCCCCAGAACCCAGACTCCCCCTGCACCCCTTGAAAGCTGGCAGGCTTCGTGGCCACAGCAAGGGTTAGCATGTCTACAGTTTTCACCCTGGTGCACCTTAACAAACATACAATATCACCTATGTCACGAGTTTTGCTTATCAGCAGCTTAAAGTGTAGTTTCCCCCAAACCCTTGCACCTATCTCCTTGAAACTTAGCAGGCTTTGTTGCCTCAGCAGGGGCTAGCATACTGCAGTTTTGACCCCACTGTGGTTTAACACGTACACATGACATGAGTATTTTGCTTTCAAGATTTGAGGTGCAGTTTCCCTGAAACCCCTGCACCTATCTTCTTGAAACATGGCAGGCTTCATGCCCTCAGAAGGGGCAACCATTCCTGCAAGTTTCACCCAAATCAGGCCAGAAATGACAAAGTTATAGGCTGTTTCAAGCTTCCCCATTATAGCCTTTGGGTGAAACGTCAAAACAGCTTTGAAACACCGAAACTGTTTTGACAAAACGAAATGGAACAGCTATTTCGAATCAAAATGAAATTCAAAACGAAACACCGTTCTGTTGAAACATTGAAACGCAAGTCGAAACGGAACGGTGCCATTTCACGCAGCCCTACCTGGCAACCTCTTGTTTACTTAGGACCTTCTCTTTAGTGCTGTCAATTTACTATGGATTAAGTGTCTAGGGAAAGTGGTTATAGGAAGGGAAGTGAAGGGAAGATGGGCAAACCATGACCTGGTTTCTCTCTTCCTCATCCCCTTCCCAAAAGGTATAATTTTTGGACACTCTCTCTCCTTTCCTAGCTGATGGTGGAAATGTAGTCCTTTGGACCTATTTTGTCTCCTTGTTCCTAAGCCCCCTCGTTGAGCTGGCAGCACACAGGATCTGAGGCATTTTTAAAGTTTCTTTCTGGATGGTGGTTGCTCCTTCTGGGCAACCTGCCACACTTGAGAGAAGCAATGAGCATACTTGGTGTTTCCACAGCATTCAGTGCCAAGAGGAACTGGTGATAGCAGCTACTAAGGGATGATTCCTCCTTTGTTGTTTATGTAATACCCAGTGGCTGTAGAGACAGTCACTGTGGCCCTGCCTGGACCCAGTAAGTGGCTGACAGAGAACTTGGATTCAGTGAAATACTGTTTAATACTGTTAAATCAAGGCCAGAACTTGTTGTCATTCATTGCAATGTCCAAATTACAATTCTTGAAACAGTGAGCCTCAGCTTTGAGTGAGAACAGTCCTTGGGAGGAGTAGTGGGAACCCTTCATCAGAGACTTCATGTGCATCTGTACTCTACCTCTATTGAAACCTATACCTATAATCTATAAAAAGTCTCAAAATCATTGAGCCCACTTGCAAGAGTAATGTTTAAAAAAAATCAATAGGAATTTATGTATACATTGCCTCTCTAATGTACTGTGCTCTCCTTAAATTATTTGTGTAGTGAAAAGGCGTTTAGAAGGCAACAGTAATGAAATGTCAAGGACCAACAGCTTCACTGATGACATTGATCTAATAGCGGAAGAGTCACCACTGCCCAGAGTATCCGATGTTGCGCAGTAAGTGGAATAATATCTTTTAACTGGAAAATATAGTTAATCATGAATTGTGGGGAAAAATAATGGTAATATATTAAGTAGATAAAATATTGTATATGCTTTTGGCTAACTAGACTTGAAGCTGGTATCTGCTTTATTTATACTACTGTATCTGAACATTTCTATGTGATGTAACTGTTGATTTCTGGTAGCATCTGTTAGTGTATGAAGAAAGAAGAATTGCCTTCAAAGTCATGATCTGGAAACTTGGTGCAAGATTTCAATTCCACCCATTAGGTGCATAAATGGATTTAGGTCTCTAAGTGTGATTCTACCCTGCTCAAGACCCTGGAAAACTATTAATGCAAAAGGTGGACGGGTCTTCTCCCTCTCTATTTTCTTGCTGTTCAATCTCAAGGGTCAGATAACTGCATGTTACAAAAGTAGATGCCTTAATGGATTTTGAGGACTTGAATAGGGTGGAATAGAATCTGGCTGTTGATGCTTGTAGCTTGTTTTGTCACTTTTGGTTGGATAAACAGTTCCTGGGGCTAAGTTTCAAAGACAGATCTGGAATCTGTAGGTGTCTGACCTTCGTGTGATATCTAACATTCTCTGATCGTGCAGAATGTTTGATTTACTTCATAAATATAAATAAAACAGTTATGTGTAGATATAGCCTGAAAATAATTAACTTTATATTGAAAGAACAATTTAAATGCAATCTTTACATTAAAGGAGCAGTGAACTTGTGATTTGTTATGCCAAAGGTAGAAGAGACAACTAGAATAGTTCAGCTGGGAATTATGCAGACATGCTTAATATGAAGAAATTCTTCTCATGAATTAGATGTAGAAAAATCAACAAGATACTAACTGCCATTGAAGTGGATCTGGAAAATACATCTACAGAACAAAGCAGATGCTGCAGGAGAGTTACTTGTTCTCTCACATTGCTTGCTTTGATTTCACAAATGTATATAGCAGTATTCTTTGGAATCATTTTAGCGCTTCCCATAGCACCTTCTCAGTGTTTGTCACAGTTCACCCCAAGACTTTGAAACCTCACTAATATAATATGTAACTTAGTTGTGAACAGAGACTTAGCTGATAATTGTCAAATGGAAATTGTCAGTGTATTGGACTTAGCTGATAATTGTCAAATGGAATTGTCAGTGTATTGGATGGTCAGGCTTTAGACTAGTTAACAGGACAGTTTGTATCTTTGTATCCAAGTTTAAGAGAAATTAATAAGCTGTACTGATTTTGCCAGCTTCACTAATGGTCTCATCCTAGGAGGTGTACAACTAGTTCTTATGAATAAAACTCCTGGTTGGCAGCGTTGTGTGACCCCATAATATTGTAAACCAGATACTGTGTGTGTTTGTGTATTTGGCATTGTAGATTCCTATTATGGACAGAGCAGGAAGAGTTCTAAAAAGGTTTCTTCTAGGAAGATACAGTTTTTTCTTATATATTCTTCAAAGGGATGATAAGTATAGGAAGGTTTTTCATCCCAAAGATATAGGGATAGAAAACTTGTTTTCTAATATGTGTATTTGTTACTAAAATTAAGAAGTTGAAAGTTTTTTAAAACACTAGTGGAAAAATTGACCCCTCTTCCCATTTGGAAAGGAGAACGTGGAAATTGCTTTGTGAGGCTGTGCCTTTGGAGTACAACAAATGATTGGTTAGGAAAAGGTGACATTTACATTTCACCCTTCCTCCCCTTTGAAGTTATCATTCATTAAGCTTTCTCTAATGCTGTTTGCAAGGGGGAAAATATTTGAGTTTTATTCTTTCTGAGGAAGGAAAAACAGACTAGCAGGCTAAGTTTTATGTTTTCGGTGCAATAGGATTGCATTTCAACTGCTGTTGAGGTAGCAAACCTTTGACGAAAATTTGGGTGCAGAAGAATATGGACGTAATTTCCAATGCAATGCTATTTACAATGACTAGAAAAAGGCATGTAAATACTGCACATTTGTCAGCTTAATGAGATATACTCCTACTAAAAGTCTAAAGAGTGGTGAAATAGAGATAAACAAACATTTGCAGTACTGCTACTCCTTTAGAGTCTGTGGGTGCATACAGATGTTCAGGAGGTTAGATTAGGTAAAAAAAGGGCTGCCCAATCTAGCTTAGTTCACCCATGTATGAACCTTATGCTTAGATCCCTAGTTAGGTCTAAGTGCTGAACTGTACAGACCTTCCTCAAAGGTTAAATCGGTCAGCAAATGGCCAGCCCAATCAAAGATTAGCTCACCTGAGCGGACCACCAAGTTACAATGAGTACAGTTAACTGAATGTCTGCACATGTTCTGAGTGCAGGCCTGGGTCTGGGAAAGCCTAGCTGCTGGTCCCAACCCAGAGACTGTGCTTTTCCTATTCCCCATGCCCTAACACAAGGCTATGTTAAACCCATGACCCCTCCCCCCACCTACAGATGAGCAGCCCTCCCACAGACCAGCTGGCCTCCTTGAGCCTGCCACCCCCCACCCCTCAAACCCCCAAACTGCTCCCAGTGCCAGTTTTACCAGTGTTCACCAGTGCCAGGAGCCTGATTGAAGGAAGTTGGGTTGTGGGGAGGTTAGGTTGCAGGGCAGGCGGATTGTTTGCCTGGCCTGGGGGAGGGTTGGGGGGCTAAAAATAGCCCCCAGTAGGCAGAAGCCCCCCATTCCTATCTAATCACTGAGTTAGGTTAGGTGGCACTCAGGATCTGGTATGTAGGGTATAACTAAGACAGATTTACAAACAAGCCAAAGTTTTGATCGGAAATAGTCTTTTGGGCAAGATAAATTTGTTAAAAGAATTTCTATTTCAAGACATTAGATTTACTTCTTTCCAAAGCGCTCAGTGCGACAGTAGAATTTTCATGGGTGTGGCTTTTAAATACTGTTCTTTCACAAGGAAAAGTTCTTCCTCAGCAATCGGGTATGTCTCTTGAGTACGAATCAAGTCTCTATGTGAACATTTTGATTTTATGTTTCTAATTTAAGTGTGTAGACTCTGATCTTTAAAACTTTGTCTAGGCTTAACGTGGAAAAAAAGTCCTTCAGTAAATTTTTTTGAAGACATAAATAATAATCTCTCTTGTTCTATACACATTAAGGAGACCTAGAATAAATGTTATCTTTTAATATTGATAATATGTTATCAATATTAAAATGAAACAGCAGCATTTCTTAATTAATCAAAAAATTGTATTAGATGAGTCCACAGTGTTCCCTGTAAATATGATGGAAAAGCTTCTAGAAGAGTGTATTGATTGGGATTGAAGCTCTTTCCATCCCACAGATAAAGGATCCTAACTGTTGATAAAACCACAGTAGAAACTGATTTCAACAGAAGCAGCATTGAGTATACTGGTATTTTCTAGTCTCATCTGTTTCCCATTTAATTTTTTGCATCATCTCTACTCTCGACATTAAGTAGCATCATTAGTACTTCAAGCAGCATGCTTTTAATTTTGAAATAGGATCATAAAAAAGTAGGGCTGGAAGGGATCTTATGAGGTTATCTGGGCTAGTTCCTTGCTTAAGGCAGGATCATCCCTCACTAAAACATCTCAGCCAAGTTTCTGTCCAATCTGCTCTTGAAAATTCCTTGGGATGGAGAGCCACAACCTCTTCAGGTAGGCTGTCCCAATGGTTGACCACTCTCGTAGGAAATGGAAGGTCGTTTTAATCTCCAACCTATATTTCCTGTGCTGTAGCTTGAGGATATTGCTCCTTGTTCTGTCCCCTGCATCCACAGAGAAAAGTTGATGTCCATCCACAGGCACTGGTTTCACCTTTTATTCAAATCAGTTCTTAAATAGCTACATGGATTTGCATAACAGGAATGTACCATGAAGCCTAGGCTTAAATAATATTTCTTTCCTGAAGCTTATTTGGTGAAAATCTCTCTACTCCACTGAAGTGAGTTCAGGATATACTGCAGCAGATTGGCATTCAAATTGAAATTCAGTTCACCTGTGTGTGTGTGTGTGTGTGTGTGTGTGTGTGTGTGTGTAGGCATGCACATGTGTTTTAAAGTCATCATTTGTTCCCAGAGCTGCCCCACCCACTTTGCTCATGATCTGCTATCCCAACAAGGCCCACAGCCCCCCTCCACAGGGCCTACAGTCCCCTTCCTCCCTGCAACAGCAATGGCCAATGTGTACTCAGGGCCCACTACAGCTGGAGCCCCCAGTTGTGTGGTGTGCCCTGGCTGCCTCAGACCTGGTGCCACCTGTGCCACTTGTCATACAGTGCAGGGCTATGTGCATTTAGGCAGCCCTGGACCACTTGGGCTGTCACCCAGGGCCTGACACCACTCATGGGGACTGTGTGTCGCACCAGGCTGGGTCCTGCCTTCATATCCCCCCACACCATGTACACTTGGTGCTAGCAGCCAGCTAGACTGTGTCGGCAAGCCTTTGCGAGCCTTTGCACAGTTCCAGGAGGCATGGCTCCTGTACAGAGGTGAGCACTAGCTCCGTGGGCCAGGCTGGGTCACATTGGCCTGGCTGGGCACATTTTCCATGATGCTTAGGCAGCGATGCACCATGGCCTATTGTAGGCACAGTGCTGCGACCGTGCATTGCTGCCTGAGCCTCATGGGGAATGAGCCTGATGAGACCCAGCCCGGCCTGCACAGTTAGCATGTCTTTGCACAGGAACCGTGCATCCTGGTCCTGTGCAAAGGCTCACTAGGGGGCCATGCCAGGCCAGGCCAGGTTGGGTTCTGCCATGTGCTTTATCCCCACACAGACTGTGGGTCCAGCAGTGCTGCCGCCAGCATGGCCCAGCTGGCTGCTAGTGCCAGGTGTGTGCAGTGTGGGGGGATGTGCACTTTGTGGGTGGGTTTGTGGAGGGGCTTGAGTGGGGGCTGTCATACGGCTGCCCTTCAACCCACCCCCCGTGGCACTGACACAGCAAGAACAGCAGTGGCACGGCGCTGTGTGACGTGAGCTCTGTGCTGAATAAACCCAGCCCATTAGCACATGGTTTTCCCAGTCCTGTCCAAAGCCGTGTGCTA